ATGTCAAAGCAAATGAAATGTCCGAAAGTGACATTGAAGTCGGTGTCAAATGTGACGACCTCTGGTAGAGCTGTCGTGTTCCGAGGCTCATTCAAGTACAGATGAACCTTACGATATCTGGAAACAACAGCTCCATTCCKATCGAAGACCACATTCGTATTGAAGATATTGTGTCCATTAGAGGCACAAGGACGMGTGTCCTCGGGCGTATCGGAGCAGAGCTGTTTCTCGTTGATGTTGATCACAATGTATCTCTTGACTTTACGAGCGGCGCAGGAGATCTCCACAAAGAAGGGATGATAGTATTCGGCCGAGGGATCGTCCAGACAGGGAGTTGCATTTTTCTCGGGTGGAGGCACATATGTAAGTGAATTCACGCTATTGAGTGTCATCTCAGGGAAGACCATGATATCCGCCCCAGTGGCATTGGGCGAGTTGATGAGCTCCAGATACCCCGCCAAGTTATCCGCCAGATTCGCCGTCAGATCGGTCCCATCAGCCTGACTAAACTCCACAACGGCGGCAGTATAGAAGTCCTCGCTGGCTCGCTCCKCACGGATGGACGCCTGCAAAAACCCATCTTGAAATTAGCTGCTAACTTTTATCCGAGCAACTGGCTTACCTGGTGGCTAATCCCGGCTGCAGTCGACAGTAGCAGCAGTGCCTGCCACAGCCCGTTAATTCTTGTGACAGTCTTGGCCATTCGGATTGAATGTCTCGATTGGTGTTTACTGCTTAAGTTAGTGCCTTTCGACTGGGACACAATTGCTGCTGCAGAACCTTTTTATAAACTGAAATCCACCAGCCCAACGCATTTATCTAATCGATCTTGGCAACAATACTGTATACCCTACTTGAGGGTAAAGCCAACTTGTGCTGAAATGTGTGACACATCGTATATGTATCGACTTCTTGATACTCAGAGAAAACGGAATTCAAGTGGAGTCGAGAGTTTATTTAGATATAAAAATATAACAATTAATCTTATTTTTATAGACCAATTTTATTTTTTATTGACTCCATCTACTAGAAATTGTAGAGTATCAGTTAATAATTTGATTATGGAGAATAATTTTTGTATTATTTTTGAATATTGTTTATTGACTGATATTGACTTTACGGCCCCATTTAAGATTTTATAAATGCAATTGGACATATCGAAAATATCAATTTGATATCAAGTAAATACTTTTCGGCTTGTAGATTGGACGGTAGAGCAACTTGTTTACGATTCTGCTATGGTCGCGTGAAGCACGCTTCAAGGTACATTGCAATTATCCGATATATTGATATCATCACACCCGACCTCCTTTCAGAGTCAACACATTACGTTATCAAAGCAGCTGCTTTTATGGATCAATATTTACTGTTTTTTATCGATGATATGTGTTCAACGTTTTTATATTTATCGCATTTATCCGAGTTGGTTTGACTGAAATACATAGTCAGCAATTTTGAATCTAATTTTTATACATTTGGTAGGTTAATCATATATTTATCCGGCGTTATCCTAGTGCGATAAAATTAGGTAAACATCAATTTTGAAATTTCCTTAATTTAATGCATTCGGTTCCTTAACTTATATTATTTTTTACTTTATTCGTGACTATCCGGCTATAGACTTTTACGATAAAATAGAATAGGATATACGTACAACATATATTAAAGTTGTGGACAAGTGTATCGTAGTTTATCCAGATCTATCCGGCTGTAAAAATGTGGCTATAAAAATGTGGAATAAAATACAGAAGCTTATTCGTCAAATCTACGATCTTTAGCTCTATCCGTTTTCATTTTCAGTCTTATATTTGCAACATATTAAACGACTTCTATTTGTTAGTATCCGTCTTTATCCATACCCATAATACTTTATATAGTTTATCCGTTTACGATCCAATGCAAATTTAGGCAATTTCCGATTTCCATTCTCGCAATGCTTAAGACCCTTCGCTCGCTTGTTTAATGCCAGAAGGAACTTAGTACACGTAAAGAGAAAAAACACGCATTACTGAACTCAACTCTTTCTTAAAGCTCAGGAAAAAATACCAATTTCTGTGCTTATACATATAAAATTAAAAAATAATGTTTTAACGTTTCTTGGTCATATATTTTAAATACGAAAATTTACCCAAGGGAGACGAGCCGTATGCACACAGAGTGAGGGCGAAAGAGATGGCGAATGGTGGGGGGGGAGAGAGATAGGGTGGCTGCTCATTTCATACGAAGGCTGCCATAAAGAAGAAACGAACGGTAAAACACGTTAAAAGGTAAGACGTGAAGGCAGCAATAACAACAACAACAACAGCAACGACAACAACAACATCAACAACGACAACAAAAAAGGCAAACGAAGGCAGCTTCATTTAGACTTTGGCCCCAGCCTAAGTCCCTGCTCCACATATGCATAACCAAATGCTTGAGCTGTGTGTGTATGTGTGTGTGGTTGGCAGCCAGGTCAGTCATATATGTGTGTTTGTGTGTGTGTGTGTGTGTGTGTGTGGGTTGCTTGCTGCTACTTATGTTTAAGCTTTGTATTTAAGCTTTTTGCACGATTTCCTCTAACAAATGGATTTTCACTTGTTGCCCCCATCTATATATACATATATTACACACATAAATATGTGTATGTATATATGTATATATATATAAGTCAGTGTATGCCTGTGTGTATGTTATGTAATCTGTATGTCCTTGTTGTCATGCTCGTTTTTTTTTTTCTAGATGCCCTTCATCGACTCACTTCAGTCGTCGCGTGCTGCTGCCACACGTTTTGCTGCTAACAAATAATTTAATTTCTTTGGGGCATCTTTGCTATCTCTCTCTCCGTTTCTATCTTCGTCTCTGTCTGTGTGTTTGTGCGTGTGTTCGCCTTAGAAGTTGGTCAAACAAGCTTAAGCAACCAACTCGCATTTGTGGCTCGAAATGTGCGCCCATCGATGCTTCACATGGCAACCACAGCAAATTTCATATTCCTATTTACAGTTAATAATCTGAAGCAAAATATTCAAATGAAATGTATGATTGACTGGAAAATACCCTGTAAGTGGTAGAGAAGTTGACTTTCTTTAAGCATAATACAAATAAATGTTTCCCCAATAAGATGAATGCTAGAATTATTTTCTAATAGATTGAAGATTCTAGCTTGAAAACAAAACTAATAGCTAAATAATAGCTAAATTATTATAGTTTATTGAAACATTAATCTTATGGTGGCTCAGTTTGCATAAGCTGTCAGAAATCGAAGAAAGAATTCAAGAGATGGACCTGAGTACCTCGACAGACATTACACTTACCCTTACCGATACCGTCTCCATAGGTGTCTAGGTAATACAGCTTAAACCTCTTTTGGCCATACATTAGAACTCAAACGGCACCGCCCCTTAGCTCTACCAAAACGCATCTTAAGTTACAGTCTATCGAATAGAAGCTGATAGTCGATCAAATATTCTCTTCAACTTTAGCTCTGATACTTTATAACTGGTTTTTTCTTTGAGCTATGTGCACTCTATGCTCGTTATCTTCAATAGCCCTAAATATATATATATATATTGCAACAATTTTCGTTTAAAGCTGCTAAATAAGAGCCTAGAAGAGAGTAAGAGAGAGCTCTTTGCCAGATGTTGGGTAAGCAGCTTTTAGAACAGGTTCTCGGGTAGACAGTCCTTGGAAGCTAGGGTAGCTGCTGATGAAGCTGCCCTAAAGGGAGACAGGGTCATGAGATGTCTTCTAAGACCAACTTTAGTTGCACATTTGCAGACCAATCAGCTTAGATTCCAATCAAATTTTCAATTTTATTTTATAAGATAAGATGGGAGCAATGGCTGTAGAAGTAGGAAATATAATTTGAGATATTAACTTATTTGTGGACTTAAATACCTCACAAGCAAATAGATATCGTATTCAATGTGTGGGATGTTATCGATAGCTGAAACATCGACTCTAATATAATTATCGATAATGCAATATAAATATCCTGTAATTCATTCAATGAAAGTCTGTAAATTTTGAATGTCTACTTAAATCAATTCGAAATGCTATATATATTGTTGATCCAGTCAAAGGCAACGTCAAAGACCTTAAAGCATTTTGCTTCCCATTTTACTCCGGTAAAGGCATTGAAATTTGCATTAACTCGAGTACGATGTGAGCTTAATATGAGGCAATAAACTGTTTTTTTTTTTTATCTCTCTCTCTCTTGCCTGCAAGCCAAATGGGTTAAGGCAGCTTAACAGGCAGTTGACACACACCCGCACACTCACACCCACACCCACACACACACACACAAGCGCAGCTGAATCAGTTGAAGTGAAGGCATTTTGCATGTGAGGCAACTTAAGTTGACATAATATGCACACACGAAACCCCATCTTTGTCATCGTCATCGTCATCGTCATAATATCGATATACACACCTTATGTGATGGCTGGAATGTCAACTCTGACCGCGGGCGCTGCCAGATTTTTGTCTTCTTGATTAATTGCAGCATGCGACGGAGCTGAAACCATTTGTTAGAGCAACGAGCGAGTGCTGCCCATTTACAGCCACGCCTCCCGCTTCCGGCTGCCCAGCCATGGACAAACTAAAAATATTATTAATGATGGCAGCTCTGGCGGCAGTTCTCAGTCTCTCAGTTAGTCTGCATTTGACATAACTCATACGATGCGTTGTCTTTCCTCTGCCTGCTCGCCCCCCTCCCTCGCAAAGCTGAGATTTATGCGTGTTACCCAAGGGAGTTGGGCATGTGGCCTGCGGTATGCCTGTATATATGTGTGTGTGTGTGTGTGTGGGTGGGTGTGTGTGGGCTCTGTGGTGTATTGACTGATTAATTAGCAGCTCTTAATGCCAGCAGCAAACGAATTGCCGAATTATGAAGCTTCACCGTTTAGTCAAAACCCACAGAGAGACAGAAACAGAGACAGTGAGAGAGAAAGAGAGAGAGAGTGCTTTGAGTGTGTTTGCCTAATCCATGTTCCTAAGCTCTGCGAACTAGCTTCGAGACAAGACTTTAAGCCACTTGACATGTGTTTACTTCCATGTGTGCTAAAACTCTTTTAAATAGCCAACAGTTAGACAGTCAAATGGACGGACGGACGATCGGACGGACGCACAGATAGGCAGAAGATAGCTTAACTTTTCATATTTACTTTGACATTCTATTGCTATGAATGTTAAGTAGGTTACTAAATATGAGCGATACTATATCCGATAGCTCTCTGTGGCTGTGATTTAAGTTATCGATAATTCAACAATTATTGATGAGCAGATAGTAATAGAATATTACTATAAATGTTTACTATGTATAAGTTGACCAACAATGAGCGATACTATGTACATATAGCTCTATATGGCTGCGGGTTAAGTTATCGATAAGTCGAAATTTATTGATAGTAATAGATAGATGAGCTGATATTTATATTGACATTCTATTGCTTTGAATGTTTACCATAAGGTGACCAACATATCCGATAGTTCTCTGCAGCTATTGTGTAAGTTATCGATAAGTCGACATTTAATTGTAATGTGGCTGTGAATATTCTCCCTCGTGCCGAAACTGTGAATGTCTTAGCCTAATTTCTTCTCAAGATCAATCGTCCTCATGACTATTAGAGCCTAAGCAACCTATACTTGAAGAATGGAACTATGAATCCATTAATTACGAAATCCATAAAAGCGAATGACTTGACAGAAATATATATGTATGTAGTTTCACCTACAGTAAAAGTTTACTTAAAGTCAACGATAACCGTGCTCTCTTTATGTGATATGAGGAATCTCAAGGTTTTCTGGAGTTGATTAAATTGAATATTACATGTGAACTCTTAGGTACTCTTACCATAATTATAGCCAGCCTAGTATAGCACAACTTGCAGGATATCTTCTAGTCCATATTATAGTGATTCACTTCACTCTGCTTATAAATTGACTTTCTCCCCGAGCACATTTAATCTTTTCCCCTTCACAGATTGTTCCAACTTATTCCAGCCGGGCTCTACCTTTCTCTCTCTCGCTCTCTCTCCCTCTCTCTCACTCTCTCTCTCTCTTTCCTTCATGTTTCCTATCCACGTTATATTTTTCTACATTTCCTCTTCCATATTTATTTGTCTCTTTATCTTATTATATTTGATTTAATTAAACTTTTCGCAAATATATTGCTTTTTTTGCAGTCCCGGCCATTATTTAATGTTGATTATCAATTTGCTCCGGCATTTTTAATACACACACACACACGCACACACTCAACTGTTGTCTGTCTATCTTCCACACACGCACACTCGCACACACACACAGTGATAAATATATACTGGGAAACCAATAAAGCGCTCGAAGCTGAGTTCATAGCTCGCCTGTTGTGCCGTTCCGTTCCCTTCCGAGGATGGAGAGACTAGCTGATTTATAGACATATGCCTCAAAGCGCCGACCTGACCTGACCTGACCCGACCCAACTCGACGCAGCTCGGCGCAACGCGACGCGACCCAACTGGACCTACACCTGCAGCTGGCGCTGTGGACTGGACCCGAATCTGGGACCCGGCAGCTGAAACTTTTGCCCCAACATATGCCTCTCGCCAGGCGTTGTTTAATAAGTTTCAGCTAAGTGGACAGCGGACCGATGGTGGGCGGGGATATGGATATGGGAACAAACTACTCGTAAAGCCAAGCGATTCGCGCTTGCCTTTTGCTCCGTTTGAGATTTATTGACATATAAATTTAATACCTACTACCCAAGCACCCGACTGCCGAAAGTCCAGGCATTGAGCGCCGGATGAGCAAAGTTTAGGAGCAGTTGATTGAATGCGCTTTACTGCTTGGATTTCCGTTAGTAAATTGAAAAAAAAAACACTAACTATATGCATATATATTTAGATATCGATATATATATACATATACATTTATTAATAGAGAAGTGAACTGTGTATGAAGGCAAAGGACGAAGTCGACGAAGTCGACGAATGCACAGATTTCGTATTTAGTTTAGGCAGCTACGGTTTTAATTTTCAATTTCCCTGCATGCATAGCTGGGCATTATTGAAGGACGCCAACAACAGCACTTGCTCCACACAATTTACCACGACCATCATACACACAAACACACACACAGACACAAGTACAGAGAAAAGGAAGCTACAAATGGGAAAATTGGTAAAAATTGATGGGAGCATCTGATCGACCTGCACATACCTTATAATCATTAGCACGGCAATCTTGAGTAGCTGAGGAGAAAAACATAATCTCTTATGGTAGAAAGATAGATAAACGATAAACGATAGATGCACCGACAACCAAATGGCCACATCAACGGATATATGGTCGATAGATCGCATACACTTTTCTAGCAATCCATAAAGCTATTCATACACCTATTCATGTGGCTACCATGTATTTATCTTTTGATGTCCTACCTGCATAGAAACCCATGACATCTATCCATAATAATCTATATGATCTGTTATCTATCATCTATCAATAATCTATCATCTTTGATCTATCATATTTGATCCGTCATTTACCATCTATCATCTGTCATCTATGATCTATCATCTATTATGTATTATAAGTCATCTATCATCGATGGTCTATCATATATCACCTAGCATCTATCATCTACCGTCTACCATCTATCGTCTATTATCTATCATCTAACATCTAATATCTATCATCTATCATCTATCATCTATAGATGATCATCTACCGTTTATTATCTATCATCTATCATTTATCATCTATCTTTTATCATATATCATCTATCATATATCATATATATAATCGATGATCTATCATCTATCAGCTATCTATTATCTCTGATCTATCATCTCTCATTTATCATCCATTTTTTATCTCGTATTATCGATCACCTGCCATCTATCATCTATCCCCAATCATCTATCATTGACATCATACCCCATTCGATTGCTTGCGTAACTGCAAAGTAAATTCAGGGAAAAAAGAACCAAATTGAATGAAATGACAGCAAAAAACGACTGCAATTTCCTGTGGCGCAGGTTTCGCTTTTCTCTATATATAACTATATAAAATTCTCTTTCTATTTCCTACCATCCCACTCTCTGTCTCTCCGTCTCTCCCTGCCCATGTCTCTCACTCGCTCAGACTTTTACCTATACTCTTTGATTAGCATCAAATTATGGGTCATTCATTCATTCGCATATTCGATTTGGCATTGGTTGACAATAGTCTGAGTAACCAGGACWCGACTCGACTCGACTCGATTCTAGTCGACTTGCCACAACTTCATTATCAGTGCAATGATAATGAGCTTTGAACATTTTCAATGTCAAGCATAATGAAAAGTTTTGCACTTGCAATTTCTTATGGCTGCAACAAATAGAAATCGTTTCGTTTCACTCTCACTCTCTCTCACTTTCTCTCTCTCTCTCTCTCTCTCTTCGTCGATTTCACCTTGACGCCGTGTCGCCTGTCTGTTTGAATAGAAAGAATCTGGATTTCTTTACGACATTAGTTCGACTCAATTTTGCAGTCGAGTCAGCTGCACAGCCCACACACACACACACTCGCACACTCACACACACACACATCATACCCAAAAGCAATCCAATCGAACCGTATCGCCGCCTCGTAGCATATCGAATGGATTGAAAATTTTGGTGCCGAGCACAAAAGCTTTTGCCGTAGAACGCATGACAATGTCAGCTTCAACTATGAATGCCAGCCAGCCTGCCGTGTCTACCAGAACAGGAGCGAACTCGAATTGGACAAATGAAATTAGGTAAGCGAGTAGGGGTAGAGGATGGAGAGAGTGGGAGAGAGACCTCTTCGACTTTCAACTTTGGTTTGAGCTAAACTTCTGCTTGAACTTCTACTTCTGCTTCTGCTTCCTTGTCAAGCAATTCTTCCACGGCCCCAAAACACAAGACGCCCACTCTGAGCCGCTCCTGTGTTCAGAAGCTGCCAATGCAGAAACCATAAGTCAAGCTGCACGGCGACAGACAACGAGGACGAAAAAAGAAAAAAAAATATATATAAGAACCGAAAGACGACAAACGACAAGTCGACTCGAAATCCAATTCAATTTCTTAGCTCATGAAACGCCGCCAAATGTCGCGACATTACCGAGCAGCCCAAAAAAGAAAAAAAAAGAGCTCAAACCGCTGCAAAAACTCAGCCCAAGTTAGTCTTACCCCACAGCGTCAGCCCCTCCCACCCGCCTGCCATCGACAGTCGCAATTCAATGCAGTTCAGTTCAGTAAATATTATGCTAAATTGAGATAATTTGTTGCCTGATACTCACCACAGAAAGAGAGGGTGCAAGAGAGTGAGACATAGAGAGAGAGAGAGACTGTGAGGGGGGGAGGAGGGTAGCGTGCGGTAGAGGCAGTGAAACCCTAGCGAATTGTCGTCCTTCGCATGCTGCGTCCTTTCGCACACACACATAGACAGAGCAAGGGCGTCGCACGGATGGACGGACTGGCGGACAGACTGACGGACAGATTTGCATGTAAATTCGTTCGCGTTTTATAGTCGCAAATTTTTGCTCGATTTTGCACATTTTCTAGATTTCTATCGTAATTGGCGGCTTGTTGTGGCCCATTCACAATAATAAAAAAAAGTAAATGAAAGGAGAAGAGAGCAAAAAAAAAACTCCCCATCTCTTTGCTTCCGCCATTCTCTCTGACTCTTTCTCGCTGCCGGAAGTACGAGTATCCGTATCCGTGTCTGCATCCGCATGCCCATATGCAACATTTTGCCGTGACTATTGCTTGGAGCGCATGAATGGCGCGTGGGGGGAAAGGGGCGAAGTGGAGCGGAAAGGCCAATGCGTATATACTGTTGCATATTATTGAAGCACGAATTACGTAACGTACTTTTAAGCATATTTGGCGGAGAGGCAAAAAATGAAAATAAAAAGGTCAAATTGGGATACTCTAGTTGAGAGTCACGACTAGCAGATATCCTAACTTACCAAAACAAAGGGAGAAACAGGAGAATGTTTCTGATGTGGAAGAATGAGACAGGAGAACGGTACATAATTTGACATCTCTAGCTTTCATTGATAATATCTAAACATAATCAGCTATTTCATAGCCTATATATCGATATATTTGTCGATATAAATCGATATATATAGAACGTCCAAATGGAGAGGAAAACGTAAAGGTCTATGGATCAGTCATTTTTTCTAAGAACAATCTATCAACAATCAACTATATCTCACCTCACACACCTCTCTATGCGCTTCTCATAGGCACTTTGTTAGCTCTTAACTAGATTGGCGTGTTAAACGATTTAATCCAAATATTTATGAACAACTCAACTGACCAACAGAATTTCAATTAGTACAAAGACTTGCACATAACACACAGATGGTGGGCTAGGGGGGATGCTGTTTTGGATGCCTGTCGCTAGAGGGGACAACGTCGTTCGAATATTTTGTGCATGCCATGTAGCATAGTCAGAGCGAACGAGCAGCGCAGAGGGACGGTTGGGAGTCGAATGTAAACGTTGCATATTTTGTAGCATACTTTTGTGGGCCTTAGCAGGCTGCCGGGCGTTAAATTGTATAAACAAGTTTGACATGAGGAGCAATTCGTGGTCCAGTTTAAGGACGGGACGGGACAGGCGACCATGTCTCAAAGTCACTGACCCAAAATCGTGCCAAGCCAAAGGAGAGAGGAAGTCAGACTGAGGCAATCGACTGCAGAATGCACGCTCAAAACTCGATTTGAGCAATGGAGATTTTTGTTCTAATTCTCAGATGACCCCATAACTTGGTATGGGGTTCGGCTCTATTATTAATTTACCTTCCCTGTGTTGTTATGGTTCTATTTTTGATGTACCGGTTCTACACTTAATAAATATATTAAAAAAATAAAAAAAAAAAAAAAAAAAAAAAAAAAAAAAAAAAAAAAAAAAAAAAAAAAAAAAAAAAAAATTCTCAGATGAAATTCATTCAGGATTTGTGGATAAATCTATAATGTTGGTTAACTCCACGAAGCGAGACTTTTAACTAATATGCAACGCCGCGCTTAGGGGCGAATAAATCATTTTTAGTCAATCGTAACTGCACTGCCCCATAATATGTCAAACTTGAGAGCTCTAGATCTAAAAACTTTAAAAGATATAGGGTTTCTTTAATTTAAAACGACCTTAATACTACTTATGATATAGTAATCAAGTATCTCAAGAATAGCCCAACTGTCAATTCCTATTTCTATAGTCTAATTCATATGTCTATAACTCTCACGGTACAGAAGGTACAGTCCAATCTGATTCGCCCCGCTTACTAAGCTTGGAGACATATTAAATCTTGGAGAGTAGAGAGTAGAGTAGAGAGTATATGCCATATTTCAACTAAGCTAAGGCATTGAGTCTATAAGGAGTTTTTAGCTCTCAAATAGTGGAAGGTACAGTCCAACCCAATGGGTACACCCATACAAAATAAACATTTATTTATTTATTTCATCTTGCAGAGTATTATATATAATCCCCACTTCAACTCAGCTATTTTAATACAGGTATGAACTCATTTAGTAGGGATAGGGTATACAATGTACTTATATACCAAACATCAAGTCTCTAACAATGAGCAAATGAGAAGGTAGAGGCACAGCATTGCACAGAGTCCAGACCCAATATGCTCTCTTTGGGCTTTATGAACGGGTATGAAAAAACAACAACAAGAACACGAGCTCCGCTTGCCGAAGCGTACCCCACAATCATAATAAATTGTAGGGCAGGCGTCAGTCGTGTGTATAAAATAGTCATTAAAAAGACAAGGCTCCAAAAGGGGAGCAGACGCACACATGTGTGTGTGTGCGTGTGTGTATATGTGTATCTGTGTGTCTGTGTCATTTTGCACAATGC